CAGGATATATAATTGTTGTATAATTGGGAATAAAGTTAGAGGAGTCTACCCTGTGTTAGATATGAAAGCAGCATCAACAAACTACCACCAAGTGCTGTGTTTTAGGTGGGGTGGTCATTTTGGGTGTATAGATTATGGCTTATACTAAACCAGCTTTGCTTTTGCCCGATTGCTGATAGCTAATCACAGGCCTGTTTTCTATTTAGGCCCTTACATCAGTTGTAAATTACAGAGAACCCAAGTCTATTTGCAGAGCACCTGAACTGGTGAGTTTGATTGTTGCTTAGAGAATGAAAACTGAGGAGAATGTCAAAATTATTTGTTTGTAGCAGTTTTTCAGAAAAATAGAAAAAAAATTATTATCTGTATCATATATAATTTGGCATTTATATAAGCAATGCAGTAGACCACATGGCTTTTCTTAAGAATAACTGAAGGAAAAAACATTTCATTTTACAAAGTTTAAGTTTTAAAGTATGTCTGCTTTGAAATAGTTTCCATTACATTTCATGGAGATTTTGATATATCTGAAATTTAAAGGAAATCTGATGATAAAGTTTTGGTAAACTTTGAAAGAAACTTAAAAGGTTTTTGTAAGATTGAGGAAAGTACTTACTCAATGTCAAAACTTACAGAACTACTCAAAACTCACCTAGGTGTTCTTTTACAAATTTATGTTACTTGTATCAATGCTTTATTAGCCAGTGGATGTCGATTAGATTTTTGACTTGTTTCTAGCTTGATTTTTTAAAATTTACCTTATGGCATATATTTTAAGTTATTTAGTTTACATTCATGATTGTGGTGGGTGCCTGTAGTCCCAGCTACTCAGGACGCTGAGGTAGGGGGATCTCCTGAGGCCACTGCGGTTTGAGGCCACAGTGCACTATGATGCTGCCTGTGAATAGCTACTGCACTGCAGCCTGGACAAGACAGCAAGACCCTGTTTCTTAAAAAAAATAAAATTAAAAAAGTAAGCTTTAGGACAGCAAAGACCCTGTGCATTGATCTTATTTTGTATTGCCATTTGCCTCCTTGGAGGTGTGAGATGTACAGAAGTGCCCTTTTTAAGGTTTATTATCAATTTCTATTTGAGCTTGCTAAGTACTGTGACAACTTACTAAAGAAATCAGCAAAAGGGATGACTGAGAATGAAGTGGAAGACAAACTCACAAGCTTCATTACTGTTTTCAAATATATTGATGATAAGGACGTTTTTCAAAAGGTAAGCTGTGAATAGAAAAGTTCTGTGTTTTAGTCAACTTTGATTTATTTTTGAACTTTAAAATCCTTAGCAAGGGAAGCAATCTTTTAAAATATTTCTTTTAATGTAGTTCTACGCAAGAATGCTGGCAAAACGTTTAATTCATGGGTTATCCATGTCTATGGATTCTGAAGAAGCCATGATCAATAAATTAAAGGTAATGTAAGTCTTGGATCCAGTACTGTCCTAGAAATTAGTCTGCCATCACATAAAGATGTTCATTGAGCATTGTATATAATAACAGGAAATAATTCATCAGCAAGGTCTGGTTAAATGTATAATGGTATATTCATACAGTGAGATATGTAAATGCTATATTAAAAGGAAAAAATCTCTCTGTATATTGATACGGAGAGATTCACAAGATAGTCATTATTGACTTTAAAAAGACTAATATTACTTATAAATGAATACACCTAAAATATTCCTTTAAGTACAAGTTTCGGAGTACAGTTGAATTTTGTTTTTTCACATCATTTCAGCCTACACACTGATACTCGTTAGCTGGTTCATATTTATCCTGAGTTAATTCAACAGTTGAAAATGTTGCTGTATATAATGCTTGCTCCTTTTTAAACCTACCAGAAAATAACTGAGCTTTTACTTTTTAGAAATAATGTTAACACAAAGCCTTTTATATCCCTAGTTTAGAGATTCAGATTTTCTGACCCAGTAATGACAGAGTTTTGAATACTTTCAAAGAAATAGATTTCTTCAGCACTCAGGAAATGGTATTCAAAATAAGCCTGAGTACCACCCTTTTAATTGACTACTGGCTGGAGTGTTTCCAGTAGTCTTTCATGTATAGTTGTTATCATCTATACACTTTATAAAAGCCGTGCGTGGTGGTGCTTACCTGTAGTCCCAGCTACTCAGGAAGTTGAGGCAGGAAGATTACTTGAACCTGGGAGGTTGAGGCTGTGATCATGACTTTGAATAGTCGCTGCACTCCAGCCTAGGCAACATAGCGAGACCTTGTCTCTTTAAAAAAAAAAAACCAAAAAACCTTAATATATCTTACATATAGTAAGGGAGCATTTTGCAGTGTTGACATAAGGTATATGGATATATGGGAAAGGCTTTATTTTAAAGACAGATTTATCATTTCATGAATACATGTTTTCATTCACTTATTTAACCTGCCTTTAAAAAGAAAGAAATTTTTAAAAGGTTTTGAATAGCTGCTTTGAGTTACGAATAATATAGGCCTTGGATGTAAACATACACGCAAGGACCTTTGACCAAAGACCTAGCAATGGCAGCATGTTCTTATTAATTAATATGGCTTATTATTTTTCTTTTCAAATCATACATTTTTAAAACTTTTTTTTTTTTTACAGCAAGCCTGTGGTTATGAGTTTACCAGCAAGCTACATCGGATGTATACAGATATGAGTGTCAGCGCCGATCTCAACAATAAGTTCAACAATTTTATCAAAAACCAAGACACAGTAATAGATTTGGGAATTAGTTTTCAAATCTATGTTCTACAGGTATGCATATGTGTTTTATTGTGGGCATTTACTGATTAGTACTTTGATAAAAAGGATTCATACATGGGTGCCTGGTCACTTTAGTTTCAGTCAGTGGACTGTGGCTCCCAAAATTCCATGTCATATCGATTGGGAATAAGTGATAATAATGCTCATGGGTTTTATCAGCATTTTCAGGAAGAGAAAAAGACGTTTTAGTTGCAACATGTTTAGTTTTAGTTGCAACCATATAAATATTTACTTTCAATTTAAATGTTGACCTCTTTAACTTTTTTATTTTACTCTTTTCCTTCCAGGCTGGCGCATGGCCTCTTACTCAGGCTCCTTCATCTACATTTGCGATTCCCCAGGAATTAGAAAAAAGTGTACAGATGGTAGGTTTGCAGGAAATATATTAGAAGACTTAAGGAGTTTTAATAATAATCTTCATATTCTGTCACTTTAAATGTTTTTCCAAAGTCTTAAGTTGGGCTCATGTGATGAAAATATATTCACAGATTATAGTCAGCCTGCCCTCTAGGAAAAATATAAATTACTGTAGTCACTAATATTAAAACTAAAAATGCTAAGGATGTCGTATAGTAAATCTATTAACTGCTCTGAAGCAGTTTTAAATTACAAAAATTTTGATATTAGAGGAAAGCTTAGAACCCAACAGTTAAAAGAATCATTTTCCAGTTTTTCAAAATTTTTGGATTTTGAGCCACTTTTTTTTTTTTTTTTTT